CGAATATGAAGGTAATTGCACACACAGGAGAGTTTTGCAATGACTCAAACCACTGTCTGCGTAACCAGCCTGCCTCGACCCGCCAGAAGAGTCACACAGCACACACATGCGAGAATAGTCCTTTGATTCTAGCCGCATGAAAGCTTGTGTCACCGCCATCATCCCCATCGTCATGCTGCTGGTGGTCATGGAGAAGGCACCGCTGGCTTCTTGAACTGTTCTTTCTGAAGAGCGAGCTGTAAATGGACGCTAGGCACGGTCACTGTTTTGAGTCATGACGAAGTTTTTTCTGCCAGACGGTGGCCGTTGCATTTTTGCTCCATTTGTAGACTGAAAGGATATAGTTTCGTCGCTCAGCTACAGAGTTGAGTGCATAGTGCGACCCTGTGAGCTGCGGATTTCATTTCAAATGTTTTTCGACTGTGACCAACGTGGTGTTGTGATTTGTAGATTCAGAAACTTGGCGTCGCGATATTGGTGGTGCCCTTATGTATTTTTTTACAAATTGATCGCGTGTGAAACTGCTGATTTATTGGTGACCTCTGCTACCGTCGATAATGAACTGCATTTCTGATGTCGGACTGTTTTTGTTTTTGCACTTTTGATGGCTGTCGTATGCTTTTAATGCGTGTGTATGTTAGTGCATATGCTGAGACAGCAGTCTGTCAGTCTTTCCACAAGGGACTGTGATGAACATTCTATATGCTCTTTGTTGGCACAGGAGCGGAGCGACTATGGGGTGACCATTTGCTATGAAACTAAACAACATTACCATATCTTCATGTCACATACGTGTCTCTGGATGGGGAGTCAGTCTCCATGTCTCTACCTGCATCATTTTCCTCTATGTGGCTAGAGAAATCAGCTACCCCAGGTAAAGCCAGTTTGTGTATACTTTCAACAATGGCGCAGACGTTAAAAGCGTCTTATTTATTTCAGGCCAGTTCATTGCACTAGAATTTGTTGATTTCCACAGTCTCGTCCCTGATGCTTGGCGCCATGCTGGTTGTAACTTTCTGCGTTCATACTGCCTCTAGTCTTAGACCAGGGAACATGTGTAATTTTCTGCGTTCATACTGCCTCTAGTCTTCGACCAGGGAACATGTGTAATTTTCTGCGTTCATACTGCCTCTAGTCTTCGACCAGGGAACATGTGTAATTTTCTGCGTTCATACTGCCTCTAGTCTTAGACCAGGGAACATGTGTAATTTTCTGCGGTCATACTGCCTCTAGTCTTCGACCAGGGAACATGTGTAATTGTCTGCGTTCATACTGTCTCCAGTCTTAGACCAGGGAACATACATGTCGGCGAATAGCTGCATTGTAGTGAGCTAGACTGGTTGGTTGTAGACCCACGTTGTGATTGAAGTATAGGCACTCGTTATTGTTGTAGTTTAGGTACACTTGTTTACTCTAGTGTAGGCAGACGTGTTTACTCTAGTGTAAGCAGACGTGTTTACTGACTCTACTGTAGGCAGACGTGTTTTCTCAGTCTAGTGTAGGCAGATGTGTTTTCTCACTCTAGGGTAGGCAAACGTGTTTTCTCACTCTAGGGTAGGCAGACGTGTTTCTCACTCTAGTGTAGGCCGACGTGTTTACTCGCTCTAGTGTAGACACATTGTTTTCCTCCGAGGGGTTATGCGATCAGAGCAGTGGTAATTTACTCGATAAAATAAACACAATGTTGTCTCCGCCCCTGTGTGGTAATTTACCGATAAAATAAACTGCTGTCTCCGCCCCTCCCCTTCCCACCCTTCCCTTTTTCCTTGTCAGTTACTTGCTACTTAGTTTGTCCAATACTGTTATTTCAGATTGTGCGATAGTCAATTTACATAAAATAGCGGTTTTCCCCAAGCTGTTTCCCTGAAGCTGTTTCTTAATTTGTCTAAATCCGCCATTTTTCTTCAAATTATCCTTTAGTTAATTTACTAAACAGAAGTTGCTGTCTAAGATGATTTGATAATTGCGGTAACTGACATAAAACAAAGGCTAGCTGAAGTGTGTCCATTAGTTGACTTAAAATACTGGAGTATCGTCTAATTGATCTAACCTGCAACAATGGTTTTGTTGAATGCCAATTTTTTGGGTCAACATCAGAACATTCATGTGAGTCATGACTTCCCCAAGACCTACATATGTCATGTCTTCTTCTTCTTCTTCTTCTTCTTCTTCTTCATCATCATCATCATCCCCATCATCTTCTTCTTCTTCTTCTTCTTTTTCCTCTTCTTCTCATCAGCTTCTTCTTCTTCTTCTTCTTCTTCTCCTCTCAGCTTCTTCTTCTTCTTCTTCTTCTTCTTCTTCTTCTTCTTCTTCTTCTTCTTCTTCTTCTTCTTCTTCTTCTTCTCAGATCTTCTTCTTCTTCTTCTTCTTCTCTCAGCTTCTTCTTCTTCTCCTCTCAGCTTCTTCTTCTTCTTCTTCTTCTTCTTCTTCTTCTTCTTCTTCTTCTTCTCTTCTTCTTCCTCTCTCCTCTTCTCCTCAGCTCCTCCTCTTCTCTCAGCTTCCTCCTTCTTCTCCTCTCAGCTTCTTCTTCTTCTTCTTCTTCTTCTTCTTCTTCTTCTTCTTCTTCTTCTTCTTCTTCTTCTTCTTCTTCTTCTTCTTTCTCAGCTTCTTCTTCTTCTTCTTCTTCTTCTTCTTCTTTCCTCTCAGCTTCTTCTTCTTCTTCTTCTCTTCTTCTCAGCTTCTCTCTTCTTCTTCTTCTCCTCTTCTTTTTTCTTCTTCTCTCAGCTTCTTCTTCCTCTTCTTCTCTCAGCTTCTTCTTCTTCTTCTCTCAGCTTCTTCTTCTTTCTTCTTCTCTCAGCTTCTTCTTCTTCTCCTCTCAGCTTCTTCTTCTTCTTCTTCTTCTTCTTCTTCTTCTTCTTCTTCTTCTTCTTCTTCTCTTCTTCTTCTTCTTCTTCTTCTTCTTCTTCTTCTTCTTCTTCTTCTTCTTTTATCAGCTTCTTCTTCTTTCTTCTCTCAGCTTCTTCTTCTCTCTCAGCTTCTTCTTCTTCGCGTTCACCGGCCGTTAACTCTAGCAGAAAGACCTGTTGTTCGTCCATTTCTAGAATTTTGGGTCTTGTTCCAGGACTTGAGTTTTGAGTGTACATCCATTTTACAGGTCTGCTTTTGTGTGTGCAGAATGTTGGTTGCCTGACCTCACTGGCAGATGCACTCTGACTTCAGCGGTAACCTCGGTCCTCTTGTCTGCCTGTATGGAACCTGTTCCTAAGATGACCGCTTAAAAATGTAAGATAAATCTATGCCAGATCTATGCAATATTGCGAGGACAATGCCGACTGTCGTAATAGACTGTTTGCATCATCATTGTGCTGCAATGTTGGTGTGGGATTGGTATTGTTGGCGCGTCTGAAGCTGCATTATGCATTTACTTTGCTTGCGCTAGCTTCAGGAGTTTGTTAGGGACTGACACGTTTCAAATGGGACTGTGAAGGATATTGTGCGTGATTTCCCCTGGCACAGGAACGGAGCATTTATGGAGCGACCCGGTGATACTAGAACCTCGACTGAAAAGATCAGTCTTCACCAGAACAAGCATTGGTCCTGGTCCTGATGCAAGTGGTTCAGCGCCTCTTCATCCACAGTCATGCACATGTTAATGTTTATTCGACGAATCAACATCATGGCACACGTGTGTAAACCCATAAGTGCTCCGTTCTACTTCTAACTCAAGCCTGAGTCTGAAGAATCTCAGCGCAGTGCCTGAACTCTGTCCCATCAGCAAGGATGCTTTAGATCTGTCCTGTTGACATACAAGCAGATACCCCGGAGTATTAATGTGAATCTTATCAAGAACTATTTTTGGCCAGCCCTGTGCTACCAGTGCCAAACGTGGACACTTAATCCTCTAATGACCGTAAAATGTGACAACAGAAATGAAACGCCTTAGAAGAGCTGCAGGAGTTTCAAGGAAAGAGAACACGAAGTCAGGAAATCAGACGATTGTTAGGAATAAAGCCAGTCTTACAGGTCATCAAAGAACAACAAAAGAAGTGGACACCTAACAAGAATGTCCTGTTACTTACTATCTACCAAAATGAGCCACAAAACGCTGCAACAGGTATAGAGCGAGCGGAAGACCTTGGAAAATATGGAGTGATGGCATTAAGAACAGCCTTCAGAAATGAACATCTGCCTAGTGCTCATCAACGAACGTTACATCCCCCCCCCCCCCCCCCCCCCCCATGCTCACTCTGACACTTCACTGAGGTACAAGGTGGACGAGAAGAAGAAGAAGAAGTGTCGTTAGGTCACTTTTTTCGATTTCCAACTGCCAAGTGGTTTTTTTACGTGTGCAAGAATACACACAGGCGTCCGGTCTACTACCCAGAGACCAGGGGAAATTACTAGAAGTCCACGGCGGAAAATCCCAGCCTTCACCCTGGCTTGAACCCGGGACTCGAGGCGGACACCATACCTCGAGACAACTCAGTAACCGACTTCTTCATCGTTTCACGTCAGTTTGTGTCGACCGAGATGTGAAACACCCCCTCTTACTGACAGTGGTACACCAAGCTGCCCGGACACTTGTCTGCTTCGACTGTTGTGTTCCTTTGTCTTCTCTCCCACCTGTACATTTCTTCCAGCCCAAGGCGGATGTTGTATGCTACAGCTCCGACTGTTATGTTCCTCTGTCTTCTCTCCCACCTGTACATTTTCTTCAAGCCCAAGGCGGATGTTGTATGCTACAGCTACGCCTGGTGCCGGATGGCGGTCTCTGGCTCTTGCCTTGTCTGGTCTGGATATTTACGTGTACACCGTGTGTGGGACAGTGCGGTTTGAATAGTTCAGTACACAGTATATGTGTGGCACAGTACACGGTGTGTGTGTGTGTGATACAGTACAGGTTGCTGGATACGTTGGGTCCCAGCGAGTCAGGCTGCCGAAACATGTCACACCCCCGTGCTGCAATGGCAGCTGTAGGGGTGCTGATGATTAACATCCGTATCCTGGAGTAGTCGTGTTGATAGGGGGCCCACAGCTTTTCTTGTTCTCTCCCGCAGGCAATCAACCAGGAGAACCCAGACTGGGACAAGAGGTCAAGTCTCCCACGGATGAAAAGTTTCGATGCCATTGTCTTTGATGTGCTCCGTGTGTCGCCGGAGGATTTTGCTGTAAGTTGCCTGCCTGTTGTTGTCTTTTAGAGATAAGCCTTTGTGTGTGGGGAAAAACAAGGAGGGGAGTGGGGTGGAGATTATCGACATGACAAGATGGAACACTCATACTTGGTATATCACTGTGATGGTTGGTACTTTGATTTTAATTCACCTCAGACAAAGAAAATCTCTGAGTTTCCGGTAAAGTCCGAAATTCTAGGGGTGTTATGTGTTGGAGGCTAGGATCTTTTGTCAGCCCCGACAACCTCAGAGACACCGACTAACTAATCCTAACCCCATCCCATAACACCAGCTTCTGAGTTGAGTGCATGGCGTGACACTGTGAGCTACGTTTGTTTTTCGTTGGCACAGGAGCGGAGCATATGTGGGGTGACCCGTTTGCTATGAAGCTGAAACTAGGATTACCAGATTACCAGTCTCCCCTGGAACTCCGGGAGTTCCTTAGTTTGGATGTAGTAAACATAAAGTACCTGATAGTTTCCTCTTACTTGAAACATGCTGGCTGGACATGTCGTTAGATGTAGACTGACTAAATTAGATTCTTCATTCTGTGCTCTTCCCCCCCCCCACCTCCCCCCATCTTGGGGAATACGAGAGTCCAATATTAGAAAAGTTATACGATTGAAAAGGGCACCGATTAACCCTAATCATAACCCCACCCACACCCCCCCCCCCCCCCCAATTTAAACTAGTTTCATTAAATTGCAACTCGTTTTTTTTTTTTTTTTTTTGTAAATTATTTTTTGAAGATACATTAGTGTGCTATATAATATTATTTTCATTATCATTATATTTTTAATTGCACACTAGTTTATCTTCACAGTAATAATTTTTTTAAAGCGTGTTGCAAATTGATTTGTATATAAAGGTAAAGGACCCATTTTCCACGCCTTGAGGCGGATTGGGTATATAGGGCTAGATCTATATTTTATAGACCAAACGGTATTTGATGGGTGATGTGGTCAGCATCACGTCGGCCGCCTTTACTTCCCAGGACTGGTACATGGTACCCACTCAAGGCTGGGTCGACCGGAGAGCCAGTCATTTTTTACATAAGTCCAGCACCAATCAGGAACCGAACCCACAACCTTTCGATCCGCAGGTACACATAGCTGCTAGACCACGGCGACTCCCTAATGTGTAGTTAACTCTACTCGATAAACATAATAAACACACACCGGCCCTTTGGAGTTGCACCAAAAACGGGAATTTCCGTTGACCTGGATGGTCTTATAAAAAGCTATAGTGGGCCCTTGATCAAACTCACTCATCTGTGTGTATGTCTTTGCGTATGTGCGCGCGCGCGCCTGCGATCATGCATTCGTCTTGTGGTTACCCTTGCACCTTTTGTGATGTAACCGGCCGCGCGGGGTTTATGAGCGAGTGCCAGTCCATTTTCTCTCTCCTAAATGTATTGTTTGTGCCCGTCCCTCTCCCGCGTGTATGTTGTTGCACGTCTTGTCTACCCCCTGCCATATGCGGGGATTCAGGCACTCAAGTTCTTGCACACACACACACACGGGCAAGGCAATGGGTGGCTGGTTTAAAGGTCACATCAACAATAGGAGATGTAGGCAGTGGGGCAAGGTCGCTGTCAGCGTTTGGCAGAATCGCGCCCTGTCGGGGTACAACAGGCGTAGTTTTGACCTATAGCGGGCTGCGCAAATCTATACAGAACAACATTACACACTTTCTCTCTCTTTCTCTCTCTCTCGCTCTCTCTCTCTCTCGCTCTCTCTCTCTCTCGCTCTCTCTCTCGCTCTCTCTCTCTATCTCTATCTCTTTTTCTTTCTCTCTCTCTCTCTCTCTCTCTCTCTCTCTCTCTCTCTTCTCTGTCTCATGGCACTAAATAGTTATCTAAATAGTACATCTGTATAAACATACGACACTAAACAGTAGAACTGTACACGCACGCGCGCGCACTTAAAATACAACTGTACGCACGCGCGCGCGCACACACACAGTGTCTATACAGTACAGTTCTGCACACATAGTAACTAAACAGTTGTATAAACAGTACAGTTCTGCACACATAGCAACTAAACAGTTGTATAAACAGTACAGTTCTGCACACATAGCAACTAAACAGTTGTATAAACAGTACAGTTCTGCACACATAGCAACTAAACAGTTATATAAACAGTACAGTTCTGCTCACATAGCAACTAAACAGTTGTATAAACAGTACAGTTCTGCTTACATAGCAACTAAACAGTTGTATAAACAGTACAGTTCTGCACTCATAGCAACTAAACAGTTATATAAACAGTACAGTTCTGCTCACATAGCAACTAAACAGTTGTATAAACAGTACAGTTCTGCTCACATAGCAACTAAACAGTTGTACAAACAGTACAGTTCTGCTCACATAGCAACTAAACAGTTGTACAAACAGTACAGTTCTGCACTCATAGCAACTAAACAGTTGTACAAACAGTACAGTTCTGCTCACATAGCAACTAAACAGTTGTATAAACAGTACAGTTCTGCTCACATAGCAACTAAACAGTATTTAAATACCACAGCAAGCGATAGGTCCTTGATGAGTGAGGTCGAGTCCAGAAGGTGGGTCCTGATAGAAGTCTAAGAGATATGTCCTTGTATGTGTCAAGAGATATGTCTTTGTATGTGTCAAGAGATATGTCTTTGTATGTGTCAAGAGATATGTCTTTGTATGTGTCAAGAGATATGTCTTTGTATGTGTCAAGAGATATGTCTTTGTATGTGTCAAGAGATATGTCCTTGTATGTGTCAAGAGATATGTCTTTGTATGTGTCAAGAGATATGTCTTTGTATGTGTCAAGAGATATGTCCTTGTATGTGTCAAGAGATATGTCTTTGTATGTGTCAAGAGATATGTCTTTGTATGTGTCAAGAGAAATGTCATTGTATTTGTCAAGAGATATGTCTTTGTATATGTCAAGAGATATGTCATTGAATGTCAAGAGATATGTCATTGTATGTGTCAAGAGATATGTCTTTGTGTATGTCAAGAGATATGTCAATGTATGTGTCAAGAGATATGTCTTTGTATATGTCAAGAGATATGTCTTTGTGTATGTCAAGAGATATGTCCTTGTATATGTCAAGAGATATGTCTTTGTATATGTCAAGAGATATGTCTTTGTATGTGTCAAGAGATATGTCTTTGTGTGTGTCAAGATATATGTCTTTGTATGTGTCAAGAGATAGGTCTTTGTGTATGTCAAGAGATATGTCTTTGTGTATGTCAAGAGATATGTCTTTGTATATGTCAAGAGATATGTCTTTGTGTATGTCAAGAGATATGTCTTTGTGTATGTCAAGAGATATGTCCTTGTATGTGTCAAGAGATATGTCTTTGTATGTGTCAAGAGATATGTCCTTGTATGTGTCAAGAGATATGTCTTTGTATATGTCAAGAGATATGTCTTTGTGTATGTCAAGAGATATGTCTTTGTGTATGTCAAGAGATATGTCCTTGTATGTGTCAAGAGATATGTCCTTGTATGTGTCAAGAGATATGTCTTTGTATATGTCAAGAGATATGTCCTTGTATGTATCAAGAGATATGTCTTTGTGTATGTCAAGAGATATGTCTTTGTGTATGTCAAGAGATATGTCCTTGTATGTGTCAAGAGATATGTCTTTGTGTATGTCAAGAGATATGTTCTTGTATGTGTCAAGAGATATGTCCTTGTATTTGTCAAGAGATATGTCCTTGTGTGTGTCAAGAGATATGTCCTTGTATGTGTCAAGAGATATGTCGTTGTGTGTGTCAAGAGATATGTCCTTGTATATGTCAAGAGATATATTGTATGTGTCAATAGATATGTCCTTGTATGTGTCAAGAGATATGTCTTTGTGTATGTCAAGAGATATGTCCTTGTATGTGTCAAGAGATATGTCTTTGTGTATGTCAAGAGATATGTTCTTGTATGTGTCAAGAGATATGTCCTTGTATTTGTCAAGAGATATGTCCTTGTGTGTGTCAAGAGATATGTCCTTGTATGTGTCAAGAGATATGTCCTTGTATGTGTCAAGAGATATGTCCTTGTATATGTCAAGAGATATATTGTATGTGTCAATAGATATGTCCTTGTATGTGTCAAGAGATATGTCTTTGTGTATGTCAAGAGATATGTCCTTGTATGTGTCAAGAGATATGTCCTTGTATGTGTCAAGAGATATGTCTTTGTGTATTTCAAGAGATATGTTCTTGTATGTATCAAGAGATTTGTTCTTGTATGTGTCAAGAGATATTTTCTTGTATGTGTCAAGAGATATTTTCTTGTATGTGTCAAGAGATATGTTCTTGTGTATGTCAAGAGATATGTCCTTGTATATGTCAAGAGATATGTCCTTGTATATGTCAAGAGATATGTCCTTGTATATGTCAAGAGATAGTCCTTGTATATGTCCTTGTCAATGTCAAGAGATATGTCCTTGTCAATGTCAAGAGATATGTCCTTGTATATGTCAAGAGACATGCTTTTTGTATATGTCAAGAGACATGTTTTTGTATATGTCAAGAGATATGTTTTTGTATATGTCAAGAGCCTTGTGCTGTATAGTGTAGTCTGCAGTGTAATGGTGTCTGTCTGTGCTGCAGAATTTGTCTGTCTATGCTGTGTATTGTTGAGTGCTTGTGATGTGTAGTGCTGCTTGCATTATAACATTGTCTGTCTGTGTTGTATCCTGTTGTCTGTCTATGCTGTATATTGTGGTTTGATGCTAATGTCTGTTGTCTGTCTACTTACAGAGTCAAATCACTTTGTTGGATCTCCCAGTGTTCAAATCCATCCAACCTGATGTAAGTATCAGCCTCGCTGGAGAGTCGCAGTAGTGATGGCTGCATGTGTCTGTCTAATCCCAGTATTTCTTTTTTTAAATAGAAAAAAAAAGTGTCAGTGCTCACCACAGAGTGTCTTTTATAATAGCACTGACAAAGTTGATGCCTAAATAGATGCCACGACTTTTTGCCCTTGTCTACTGCCAGGGAGGGAAAAGGGAGGGGAGGAACCTGTTCCGAGGAATACTTAAAGGGAAGGATTGTGATGCTGTTGTCACCATCTCTTGTACTGGGCAAGAGTTCAGACCCTTGTGTCTTAGGTTTACTAATCACTGATTTAAGAATTGACATTATAGCACACCGGGCATACCCAAAGATGCTCCGTCTCCTGCGGCAAATGCCTCAAAGTGTAGATGCTGACTGTTCCCATAGCACACTGATTATACAATCGTCATTCTCTATCTCTCATCCGTCCCTTCCTGCCGGAGCCACTCTTAATTCCCCGTTCACACATTCTTGCACATGTTATTTCATCTAATCTTGTGTTTTCTGTCAGCAGTCATTTTTATATGGCCTTCAGAATATCTCCGTTGTCCAGTATGGTTGTGTTAGACCTGCTGAGCACAGGAAAACAGATCAGGAGGGTGTCCCAGCCCCAGTAGAAAACGAGACCCAGGGATGGAAGTTGAGAAGGATAGAACATAACTGTTCTCTGGTAAAGGAAGACAAATCATACAGTACCTAATACAACTCGGGGTAAAGGGGAGAGATATTTTTACAGTACCTTATACTGCTCAGAGTAAAGGGAGACAGATCATACAGTACCTTATACAGCTCAGGGTGAGAGGGAGAGATATTTTACAGTACCTTATACATCTCAGGGTAAAGGGGAGAGATATTTTACAGTACCTTATACAGCTCAGAGTAAAGGAAAGATATATTTTACAGTACCTTATACAGCTCAGAGTATAAAAAAAGAGATATTTTACAGTACCTTATACAGCTCAGAGTAAAGGAAAGAGATATTATACAGTACCTTATACAGCTCAGGGTAAATGGAAACAGATCATACAGTACCTTATGCAGCTCAAGGTAAAGGGAGACAGATCCTACAGTACCTTATACAGCCCAGGCTAAAGTGGAGACAAATGATGCAGTATCTTATACAGCTTAGAGTAAATGGGAGACAAATAATGCGGTACCTTTTACAGCCCAGGGTAAAAGGGAGACAAATCATGCAGTACCTTATACAGCTTAGGGTAAAGTGGAGACAAATCATGCAGTACCTTATACAGCCCAGGCTAAAGGGGAGACAAATGATGCAGTACCTTATACAGCTTAGGGTAAAGGAGGGGAAATTATAAAATGATGAAACAGAAAGCTTGCATGGACTTTCACAAAGCCAGCCCTGAGCTGGAGGTTAGTTCCATGGTATCCATTTATATCCAGTGTGGCCTTATTTTTATACCATGCCACTGTTGTACTCCAGTAAGTGGCTTTTGCCTCTGCTGTTGTACTCCAACAGGTAGCTTTTTTCTCTACTATTGTACTCCAAGAGGTGGCTTTTGTCTCTGATGTTGTACTTCAAGAGGTGGCTTTTGTCTCTACCATTGTACTCCAAGAGGTGGCTTTTGTCTCTACCATTGTACTCCAAGAGGTAGATTTTGTCTCTGCTGTTGTATTCCAACAGGTGGCTTTTGTCTCTACCATTGTACTCCAAGAGGTGGCTTTGGTTTTTGCTAATATATTCCAACAAGTGGCTTTTGTCTCTACCATTGTACTCCAAGAGGTGGCTTTTGTCTCTACCATTGTACTCCAAGAGGTGGCTTTTGTCTCTACCATTGTACTCCAAGAGGTGGCTTTTGTCTCTACCATTGAACTCAAACAGGTGGCTTTGGTTTCTGCTAATGTATTCCAACAGGTGGCTTTTGTCTCTACCATTGTACTTAAACAGGTGGCTTTTGTCTCTACCATTGTACTAAAGAGGTGGCTTTTGTCTCTACCATTGTACTCCAACAGGTGGCTTTTGTCTCTACCATTGTACTCCAAGAGGTGGCTTTTGTCTCTACCATTGTACTCCAAGAGGTAGCTTTTGTCTTTACCATTGTACTCCAAGAGGTGGCTTTGGTTTCTGCTAATGTATTCCAACAGGTGGCTTTTGTCTCTACCATTGTACTCAAACAGGTGGCTTTTGTCTCTACCATTGTACTTAAACAGGTGGCTTTTGTCTCTACTGTTGTATTCCAACAGGTAGATTTTGTCTCTGCTGTTGTACTCCAACAGGTGGTTTTTGTTTCTACCATTGTACCACAACAGGTGACTTTTGCCTCTGCTGTTGTACTCAAGTAGTTGGCTTTTGCCTTCTGTTGTACTCCAACAGGTGGCTTTTGTCTCTACAATTGAACTCCAATATGTGTCTGTTGTCTTTTGTAGTGTACTCCAAGAGGTGGCTTTTGTCTCTACTGGTGTAATCCAATATGTGGCTTTTGTCTCTATTGTGGTACTCCAGCAGTTGCTTTTGTCTCCACTATTGTACTCTAACAGGTGGCTTTTGTCTGTACTGTTGTACTTATCCATCACTTGTGGTTTTTATCTCCAGGAGCTGACTTCGTGTGCATGGACAACAAAAGAGAAACTGATCAAAGCACCCAATGTGGTGGCTTTCACTCGCAGGTTCAACCATGTAAGTACATCCATCACTTGCAGGTTTAACTATGTAAGTACATCCACAACTGGCAGGTTCAACCATGTAAGTACATCCATCAGCTACAGGTTTAACCATGTAAGTACATCCACCACTTGCAGGTTTAACCATTAAATATATCTATCCACCACACAAGTTTAACCTTCTAGTTTGTGTGTACCTTTCATTAGTGTAAATTTGGGTCTGTATAAACATCAGCAGTCGTTGTATTGTGTGAGAATTCTATACAGTGTAAAGTATATACAGTTACAATATGTTGTGTGAATGTACATTGTATTGGAGTCAGCACTTGAAACACATAGGCTCAGCAGTTGTATATGTGGTGTGAGTGTTGTTAGTATGGGCTCAACAGTTGTATGTGTGGTGTGAGTGTTGTTAGCATGGGTTCCGCATTTGTATATTTTGTGTGAATGTTGTTAACACATAGGCTCAACAGATGTATGTGTGGTGTGAATGTTGTTAACACATAGGCTCAACAGATGTAGGCTCAGCAGATGTATGTGTGGTGTGAATGTTGTTAACACATAGGCTCAACAGTTGTATGTGTGGTGTGAATGTTGTTAACACATAGGCTCAACAGTAGTATGTGTGGTATTAATGTTGTTAACACATAGGCTCAGCAGATGTATGTGTGGTGTGAATGTTGTTAACACATAGGCTCAACAGATGTAGGCTCAGCAGATGTATGTGTGGTGTGAATGTTGTTAACACATAGGCTCAGCAGATGTTTGTGTGGTGTGAATGTTGTTAACACATAGGCTGAACAGATATATGTGTGGTGTGAATGTTGTTAACACATAAGCTCAAAAGTTGTGTGTCTGGTGTGAATGTTGTTAACACATAGGCTCAACAGTTGTATGTGTGGTGTGAATGGTGTTAACACATGTAGTGTGAATATTTTCTACAGCATATGCATCAAATGTTGTATTTACTCTTGTTATCTGCAGGTGAATTTTTGGGTGCAGAAGGAGATCTTGAACTGCCAGACACTGAAGACCAGGGCCGAAGTGCTGGCTCACTTTATCAAGATTGCCAAGGTTTGTCGTCTGTCTGTGTGGCAGCACTTGTTGGTCGAATGTAGTACAGCAGTTGTGTGGCAGTATTTGTTGGTCGAATGTAGTACAGCAGTTGTGTGGCAGGATTTGTTGGTCCAGTATAGTACAGCGGTTGTGTGGCAGTATTTGTTGGTCCAGTATAGTACAGCAGTTGTGTGTGGCAGTATTTGTTGGTCCAGTGTAGTACAGCAGTTGTGTGGCAGCACTTGTTGGTCCAATGTAGTACAGCAGTTGTGTGTGGCAGTATTTGTTGGTCCAGTGTAGTACAGCAGTTGTGTGTGGCAGTAATTGTTGTTCCAGTATAGTACAGCAGTTGTGTGTGGCAGCACTTGTTGGTCCAGTGTAGTACAGCAGTTGTGTGGCAGCATTTGTTGGTCCAGTGTAGTACAGCAGTTGTGTGGCACCACTTGTTGGTCCAGTATAGTACAGCAGTTGTGTGGCACCACTTGTTGGTCCAGTATAGTACAGCAGTTGTGTGGCACCACTTGTTGGTCTAGTATAGTACAGCAGTTGTGTGGCACCACTTGTTGGTCCAGTATAGTACAGCAGTTGTGTGGCACCACTTGTTGGTCCAGTATAGTACAGCAGTTGTGTGGCACCACTTGTTGGTCCAGTATAGTACAGCAGTTGTGTGGCACCACTTGTTGGTCCAGTATAGTACAGCAGTTGTGTGGCAGTATTTGTTGATCCAACATAGTACAGAAGTTGTGTGGCAATATTTGTTGGTCCAATATAGTACAGCAGTTGTGTGGCAGTATTTGTTGGTCCAATATAGTATAGCAGTTGTGTGGCAGTATTTGTTGGTCCAATATAGTATAGCAGTTGTGTGGCAGTATTTGTTGGTCCAGTATAGTACAGCAGTTGTGTGGCAGTATTTGTTGGTCCAATATAGTACAGCAGTTGTGTGGCAGTATTTGTTGGTCCAATATAGTATAGCAGTTGTGTGGCAACACTTGTTGGTCCAATATAGTATAGCAGTTGTGTGGCGGTATTTGTTGGTCCCATATAGTACAGAAGTTGTGTGGCAGTATTTGTTGGTCCAATATAGTATAGCAGTTGTGTGGCAGTATTTGTTGGTCCAATATAGTATAGCAGTTGTGTGGCAGTATTTGTTGGTCCAGTAAAGTACAACAGTTGTGTGGCAGTATTTGTTGGTCCAATATAGTACAGCAGTTGTGTGGCAGTATTTGTTGGTCCAATATAGTATAGCAGTTGTGTGGCAGCACTTGTTGGTCCAATATAGTACAGCAGTTGTGTGGCAGTATTTGTTGGTCCAGTATAGTACAGCAGGTGTGTGGCAGTATTTGTTGGTCCTGTGTAGTTCAGCAGTTGTGTGGCGGTATTTGTTGGTCCAGTGTAGTACAGCAGTTGTGTGGCAGTATTTGTTGGTCCAGTATAGTACAGCAGTTGTGTGGCGGTATTTGTTGGTCCAGTGTAGTACAGCAGTTGTGTGGCAGTATGTGTTGGTCCTGTGTAGTTCAGCAGTTGTGTGGCAGCATTTGTTGGTCCAGTGTAGTTCAGCAGTTGTGTGGCAGTATTTGTTGGTCCAGTGTAGTACAGCAGTTGTGTGACAGTATTTGTTGGTCCTGTGTAGTTCAGCAGTTGTGTGGCAGCATTTGTTGGTCCAGTGTAGTTCAGCAGTTGTGTGGCAGCATTTGTTGGTCCAGTGTAGTTCAGCAGTTGTGTGGCAGCATTTGTTGGTCCAGTGTAGTTCAGCAGTTGTGTGGCAGTATTTGTTGGTCCCATATAGTACAGAAGTTGTGTGGCAGTATTTGTTGGTCCAATATAGTATAGCAGTTGTGTGGCAGTATTTGTTGGTCCAATATAGTACAGCAGTTGTGTGGCAGTATTTGTTGGTCCAATATAGTATAGCAGTTGTGAGGCGGTATTTGTTGGTCCAATATAGTACAGCAGTTGTGTGGCAGTATTTGTTGGTCCAATATAGTATAGCAGTTGTGTGGCGGTATTTGTTGGTCCAGTGTAGTACAGCAGTTGTGTGGCAGCATTTGTTGGTCCAGTGTAGTTCAGCAGTTGTGTGGCAGTATTTGTTGGTCCTGTGTAGTTCAGCAGTTGTGTGGCAGCATTTGTTTGTCCAGTGTAGTTCAGCAGTTGTGTGGCAGCATTTGTTGGTCCAGTGTAGTTCAGCAGTTGTGTGGCAGCATTTGTTAGTCCAGTGTAGTTCAGCAGTTGTATGGCAGCATTTGTTGGTCCAGTGTAGTTCAGCAGTTGTATGGCAGCATTTGTTGGTCCAGTGTAGTTCAGCAGTTGTGTGGCAGCATTTGTTGGTCCAGTGTAGTTCAGCAGTTGTGTGTGGCAGTATTTGTTGGTCCAGTGTAGTACAGAAGTTGTGTGGCAGTGTTTGTTGGTCCAGTGTAGTACAGCAGTTGTGTGGCAGCATTTGTTGGTCTAATGTAGTACAGCAGTTGTGTGTCAGCACTTGTTGGTCCAGTGTAGTACAGCAGTTGTGAGTCAGCATTTGTTGGTCCAGTGTAGTACAGCAGTTGTGTGGCAGCACTTGTTGGTCCAGTGTAGTACAGCAGTTGTGTGGCAGCACTTGTTGGTCCAGTGTAGTACAGCAGTTGTGTGTCAGCACTTGTTGGTCCAGTGTAGTACAGCAGTTGTGAGTCACCATTTGTTGGTCCAGTGTAGTTCAGCAGTTGTGTGGCAGCACTTGTTGGTCCAGTGTAGTTCAGCAGTTTTGTGGCAGCACTTGTTGGTCCAGTGTAGTTCAGCAGTTGTGTGTGGCAGTATTTGTTGGTCCAGTGTAGTTCAGCAGTTGTGTGGCAGCACTTGTTGGTCCAGTGTAGTACAGCAGTTGTGTGGCACCATTTGTTGGTCTAGTGTAGTTCAGCAGTTGTGTGGCAGTATTTGTTGGTCCAGTGTAGTACAGCAGTTGTGTGGCAGTATTTGTTGGTCCAGTGTAGTACAGCAGTTGTGTGGCAGTATTTGTTGGTCCAGTGTAGTACAGCAGTTGTGTGGCACCATTTGTTGGTCCAGTGTAGTACAGCAGTTGTGTGGCAGCACTTGTTGGTCCAGTGTAGTACAGCAGTTGTGAGTCACCATTTGTTGGTCCAGTTAGTACAGCAGTTGTGTGGCAGTATTTGTTGGTCCAATGTAGTACAGAAGTTGTGTGGCAGCATTTGTTGGTCCAGTGTAGTTCAGCATTTGTGTGGCAGCATTTGTTGGTCCAGTGTAGTACAAAAGTTGTGTTTCAGTATTTTTTGGTCCAGTGTAGTACAGCAGCTGTGTGGCAGCATTTGTTGGTCCAGGACTTCCGGTGTAAACAGCCACAGTGGCGGTACGCTTTTTCATCCGTTAATGCAAATGGCGCAAATTTGCTATTTTCGCTCACTTAAAAATGTTAAAGATTCATCGGAATGGGGTATGAACCCTGCAATGGAGTACATTCACCTGAGTTCAGATTTCCTTTTCTATGCTGGAGCTCTGGTGTCTGGCCTGTGGTGATCCCCATTGTCAAAATTTGGGCCCCTTATTAAACATATTTGGGTGCTTTATTAATATCCTACCCCATACATAGGAAATCCACAGGTTACGGGACAGTCTAATATTTCAGGGGGTGGTAGGTTGCACGCAGTCGTGGGACCGAGGCTGCATGCAGTCGCGGGACCTAGGCTGCACTCTCTCAAGGGACGTCGGTGGGTAGGGGTTAGGGCCAGTTCTAGATTGTTTGGAGTCGTTAAAAGGGTCCAGTCTTACCACCCTCTAAAATGTTGACTGCCCTTTGACGTCATCTGGGTTAGTATATTAATAAAGAACCCTTATTTGAATAGCCCTGATGTCCTCCACATATCTCAAAGTGGGTTAAAGAGTTTGTTAGCTTACTGCACCTGGATTACTGGAGATGTTTATAGTTCATGAATATTTATATCTCACTTATTTCTGGAATTTATAACTCTATTTATAGATGACAGCTGCTAACTTTAGTGTATGAAGGTTTATAGGTCAGGGCTGACATTTATAGACTGTGCTATCTATAGATGGGTGATTGCTGATACTGTTGTTGTTGTTGTTGTCCGCAGAAACTACAGGACCTCAACAACCTGCATGCTGAGATGGCCGTCATCTCGGCTCTACAGAGTGCTGCTATATTTAGACTGTCTCACACGTGGATGGTAGGTTATATTTGTCTCAGATACTCTCTCTCTCTCTCTCTCTCTCTCTCACTGATTATTTTCTCTCTCTCATGCACTCTCACACACACACACACAGACATATACTCACATAGATGGTAGTTTGTATTTGTGCCTGATTCTTTCTGTCACACACGGACAGACACATAGATGGTAGTTTGTATTTGTGCCTGATTCTTTCTGTCACACACGGACAGACACATAGATGGTAGTTTACCATTGCGTCAAATTCTTTCTGTCTCTGTCTCTCTCTCTCTCTCTCTCTCTCTCTCGGAAGTTTGGAATGGCCGAATGTAAGACAGGCCTGCGTGCCTAATTTGTAACCCTTTGAAAATAAAGTTCGTTCGTTCGTTCTGTCTGTCTGTCTGTCTGTCTGTCTGTCTGTCTGTCTGTCTGTCTGTGTCTGTCTGTCTCAGGCTTTTGTGTTCTTTTATAATATTCATAATATGCATATCATCATATGATCATAACATGCTTTATTAGTAAAATACAATTGCTGTGTGAAAGATGGTTGACTGGAAGGGCCGAATGTAAGACGGGCCTGCGTGCCCAATTTGTGACCCTTTGAAAATAAAGTTCGTTCGTTCGTTCGTTCTCTGTCTCTTTGTGTGTATCTGTGTGAGTCTCTATCGGTGTGTCTATTATATAATGTCTGCGTGTCTCTGCTTGTGTCGGTTTATGCGTCTGCATGTATGTCTGTGCACGTATGTGTGACTGTGCCTGTCTGTGTGTGTATATCTGTGTATGTGTGAGTGTTGCGTATGTCTATGTGTGTCTGTTTCCCTGCCTGTGTGTGTGTTTGTGTGTGTGTGCCCGTGACTGCATGTGTGTGTGTCTCTGTGTGGGTTTATGTCTGTGTGCGTCGGTGTGTCTGTTTGTATTGGTCTTTTTGTGTTGCTACTTGTGTGTATAGCTGTGTGTCTGTATGTGTCTGGGTTGTATGCGTGTGGGTTTTAGAGCGTGTGTATGTATGTATGTATGTATGTATGTATGTGTGTATGTATGTATGTATGTGTGTATGTATGTATGTATGTGTGTGTGTATGTATGTCTGTGTGTGTGTGTGTATGTGTGTCTGTGTGTGTGTGTCTGTGTGTGTGTGTGTCTCTGTGTGTGTCTCTGTGTATGTCTCTGTGTGTGTGTCTGTCTGTGTGTGTGTGTGCGCGAGCGTGCGTGCACAAGCGTGCGTGCGCGCGTGCATGTGCGTGTGGGTGCATGTTTATATGTATGTGTGTACTGGGTGCCTATGTGTATGTGTGTAAGTGAGTGATTGGGTTTGTGTGTGTATGTGGGTGTGTGTGTTCGCGCGCGAGCTGGCGCGCATATTTTACCACCCATGCTTTTGTTTTTGACTTCATATCCATAATATGCATATTATTACATGAACATAACATGTTTCATTGATTAAATACAACTGCTGTGTGAAAGATGGAAGTTTGGAAAGGCCAAATGTAAGACAGGCCTGCGTGCCTAATTTGTATAACCCTTTGAAAATAAAGTTTGTTCGTTCGTTCGTTCTCTCTCTTTCTCTCTCTCTCTCTCTCTCTCTCTCTCTCTCTCTCTCTCTCTCTCTCTCTCTCTCTCTCTCTCTCTCTCTCTCTCTCTCTCTCTCTCTCTCTCTCTCTCTCTCTCTCACGCACACACACACACACTTAGACACATAGATATTATTTTACCATTGCGCCAGATTCTTTATGTCTCTCTCTCTCTCTCTCTCTCACACACACACAAACACACTCAGACACATAGATGGTAGTTTGCCATTGCGCCAGTTTCTTTATGTCTCTCTCTCTCTCTCTCACACACACACACACACACTCAGACACATAGATGGTAGTTTGCCATTGCACCAGATTCTTTATGTGTCTCTCTCTCTCTCTCTCTCTCTCTCTCTCTCTCTCTCTCTCTCTCTCTCTCTCTCTCTCTCTCTCTCTCTCTCTCTCACACACACACTCAGAAACATAGATGGTAGTTTGCCATTGCACCAGTTTCTTTATGTCTCTCTCTCTCTCTCACACACACACACACACACACACACACACACACACTCAGACACATAGATGGTAGTTTGCCATTGCACCAGATTCTTTATGTCTCTCTCTCTCTCTCACACACACTCAGACACATAGATGGTAGTTTGCCATTGCGCCAGATTCTCTCTTTTTGTCACACACACACACGCATGCATACACATGGATGGTAGGTTACTGTTGTGCCACATCCATGGATGTTTACTGAAATATTATATACAGCTGCCTTCTGTCTCCAGCTGTTGTTGTCTCCAACTGTTGTTGTCTGTCTCCAACTGCTTTATTGTCTCTGGCTGCTGTCTGTCTCCAGGTTTTGTTGTCTGTAACTGTTGTTGTCTGTCTCCAGCTGTTGTCTGTCTCCAGCTGTTGTCTGTCTCCAGCTGTTGTTGTCTGCAACTGTTGTTGTTTTGTCTCCAGCTGTTCTTGTCTGTCTCCAACTGTTGTTGTCTGTCTCTGTTTTATTGTCTCTGGCTTGCTGTCTATCTCTAGCCTTTGTTGTCTGCAACTGTTTTTGTCTGTCTCCAGCTGTTGTTGTCTGCAACTGTTGTTGTCTTGTCTCCAGCTGTTCTTGTCTGTCTCCAACTGTTGTTGTCTGCAACTGTTGTTGTCTGTCTCCAACTGTTTCATTGTCTCTGGCGGCTGTCTGTCTCCAGCTTTTGTTATCTGCAACTGTTGTTCTTCTTCCAGCTGTTGACTGTCTCTGGCTGCAGTCTGTCTCCAGCTGTTGTTGTCTGCAACTGTTGTTGTCTGTCTCCAGCTGTTCTTGTCTGTCTGCAACTGTTGTATTGTCTCTGGCTGTTTGTCTCCAGTTGTTGTTGTCTGTCTGCAACTGCTGTTGTCTGTCTGCAACTGTCGTATTGTCTCTGGCTGTGTGTCTCTCTCCAGCTGTTGTTGTCTGTCTCCAACTGTTGTAATCTTTCTCCAGATGTTGTCCAAAAAGGACAAGAGCCTCTATGAGAGAATGGCTGACCTCTTTTCTGAAAATAACAATCGACAACGGTTGAGAGACTACATGGAGTCAGTTAAACTTCCCTGTATACCTTACCTAGGTATGTTGTAGATTTGTTGTAAGTTTTGCCATTGTGTGTTGTAGATTTTTTTAGTAAGGCTTTACCATGGTGGGTTGTAGATTTCTTGTACGGCTATACATCTTTTTGTTGCATGCCATGTCTCAGTGCTTCACTTGCTGGAAGATTTGACTGTGTGAGTCACATTTTGTTGGTGAGGTTAAAGCAGGTTGAGCCACCAATTCAGTCATCAATTTGTGCATTATCTGACCTTATTCAGAGTTGAAGGAAACGAGGGCACACCTGGTCAACATTTGTCTGTATTCATATGTGTCATGACCTCTTTGGTCTAACGGCTACAAGCTCGCCTGCCGATCAGAAGGTCGTGGGTTCGAGTTCTGACAGGGGCTGGATTTTTTTTCTTCTTCCAAAAAGGACCCTGGCTTCCAGGTAATCCTAGCCTTGAGTGGGTTATCAGATACTGTCCTGGGAAGTAAAGGCAGCTGGTTTGATGCTGACCACATCACCTACCAAGTGCCATTTCTGATGGTCTGTAGAATATAGGTCTAGCCTTATGTACTCAATACGCCTGAAGACGTAGAAAGGGGTCCTTTATTTGTATGACCTCTTTGGGAGCGTTCTTCTGTCATTGGTTTTTTTTTTTTTTTTTTTTTTGGCAGAATTTATTCATAGTTGAACTTAATTGTTTGATTTGTTCAGATTTAGATTGTGTGAAATTGGTCATTTGTGTTTAAGTTACCTTACCTGGTGTCTTCATGTCTGAGTTGTCATTCACTACTGTTGTTTGTTTAGGTGTGTGAACCCTGCTAGCCTGTGTTGTTTCACACACGTTGTGGTAAGGGTTTAGCACAAGTTGTGATGCTGGTTTAACACAAGTTGTCATGCTGGTTTAACACAAGTTGTGATGCTAGTTTAACACAAGTTGTGATGCTAGTTTAACACAAGTTGTGATGCTGCTTTAACGCAAGTTGTGATGCTGCTTTAACACAAGTTGTGATGCTGGTTTAACACAAGTTGTGATGCTAGTTTAACACAAGTTGTGATGCCAGTTTAACACAAGCGTTGATGCTGCTTTAACACAAGTTGTGATGCTGGTTTAACACAAGTTGTGATGCTGGTTTAACACAATTTGTGTTGGTTTAACTCAAGTTGTGATGCTGCTTTAACACAAGTTGTGATGTTAGCTTAACACAAGTTGTGATGCTGGTTTAACACAAGTTGTGATGTTAGCTTAACACAAGTTGTGATGCTGGCTTAACACAAGTTGTGATGCTGGCTTAACACAAGTTGTGATACTGGTTTAACACAAGTTGTGATGCTGGTTTAACACAAGTTGTGATGCTGCTTTAACACAAGTTGTGATGTTAGCTTAACACAAGTTGTGATGCTGGCTTAACACAAGTTGTGATACTGGTTTAACACAAGTTGTGATACTGGTTTAACACAATTTGTGATGCTGGTTTAACACCAGTTGAGGTGTTGGTTTAACAAAAGTTGTGATGGTTTAACACAAGTTGTGATTTTGGTTAAACACAAGATGTGATGATGGTTTAACACAAGTCATGGTTTAACACAAGTTGTTATGGTTTAACACAAGTTGTTATGGTTTAACACAAAGTTGTGTGATTTAATACATGTTCAGATGCGGGTTTCATACAAGTAATCATGGTTTGACGTTGCTTGCAGGCCTGTACCTCACAGACCTCATCTACATCGATGTGGCCCACCCCCACTCAGGGGGCATGGAGAGCCAGCCCAGAAGGGTTCAGATGAACAACATCCTCCGAGTGATTGCAGACTACCAGCAGTCAGAGTATGGTAAGTAGCCACCATCATAAGTATCACACTTTGAGCCTCACCAGTACAACCTGGGGTATCATACTTTGAGCCTCACATTTAGTTACCAGTACAGCGTGGGGTATCATATTTTGAACCTCACATGTAGTTACCATTACAGCCTAGGGTATCATACTTTGAACCTCACATGTAGTTACCATTACAGCCTGGGGTATCATACAATGAGCCTCACCAGTACAGCCTGGGGTATCACAATTTGAGCCTCACGTTTAGTTACTAGTACAGGCTAAGATATCCTACTTTGACCTTCACATATAGTTACCAGTACAGCATGAAGTATCACACTTTAAGCCTCACATGAAGTTACCAGAACAGCCTAGGTTATTACACTTTAAGCCTCACATGAAGTTACCATTACAGCCTGGGGTATCAAACTATGAGCCTCACCAGTACAGCCTGGGGTATCACACTTTGAGCCTCACGTTTAGTAACTAGTACAGGCTAAGATATCCTACTATGACCTTCACATTTAGTTACCAGTACAGACTACGATATCATACCTTGACCCTTCACATATAGTTAGTACAGCCTGGGGTATAACACTTTGAGCCTCACATGTAGTTACCAGTACAGCCTGGGGTATCATACTTTGACCCTTCACATGTAGTTACTAGTACAGCCTGGGGTATCATACTTTGAGCCTCACATGTAATTACCAATACAGCCTGGGGTATCATACTTTGTGCCTCAGATGTAGTTACCAGTACAGCCTGGGGTATCACACTTCAAGCCTCACATGTAGTTACAAGTAAAGCCTAGAGTATCATACTTTGAGCCTCACATGTAGTTACCAGTACAGCCTGGGGTATCACACTTCAAGCCTCACATGTAGTTACAAGTACAGCCTAGAGTATCATACTTTGAGCCTCACGTGTAGTTACCAGTACAGCCTGGGGTATCACACTTCAAGCCTCACATGTAGTTACAAGTACAGCCTAGAGTATCAAACTTTGAGCCTCACATGTAGTTACCAGTACAGCCTGGGGTATCACACTTCAAGCCTCACATGTAGTTCTGTGTTATTATACTTTGAGCCTCACATGTAGTTACCAGTACATCCTAAGAAATCATACTTTTAGCATCATATGTAGTTAGCAGTACAGCCTAGGTTATCATACTTTGAGCATCACATGTAGTTACCAGTACATCCTAAGATATCATACTTTGAGCCTCACATGTAGTTACCAGTACAGTTGTAGATATACTTTGAGCCTCACGTGTAGTTACCAGTACAGTTGTGGATATCACACTTTGAGTCTCACGTGTAGTTACCAGTACAGTTGTAGATATCATACTTTGAGCCTTATGTGTAGTTACCAGTACTGCGGTAAAAACAAGTTAGTTGCATGTATTATGTTAAAGAATGTTGTGGTTGTTGAGTTTATCTAGACAAATGTATATGTTCACAATGCTAAAGCCATTGGTCCCTGTAGAGTACCTGATGTCATTGATATGATATCTACAAACTTTGTTCCTTTAGCTGAAGAGAAGTCATACTGCCTGTGCACTCCCTTTAGGTAGAGTATATCATGTGAATGATGTGTCCTTTTCTGTCTGTCTGTGTGTGTGTTTTCTGTGGCTAACCTGCTGTCAACCTCGTGACATCCACAGACTGTGCAGTACTAGAACACATCCAAAACTACCTCCGGTCCATGAGATACATTGAGGAGCTACAGAAGTTTGTGGAGGACGATAACTACAAGTGAGTCTGCGCATTCATCCTCTCCTGACACCTACAGATACATCTCTGCATGTGACCACATCCATCTCCACACTGACTCAAATTCTCCACAACACTGACTCCAATTCTCCACCACACTGACTCCAATTCTCCACCACACTGACTCCAATTCTCTGCCACACTGACTCCAATTCTCTGCCACACTGACTCAAATTCTCCACAACACTGACTCCAATTCTCTGCCACACTGACTCAAATTCTCCACAACACTGACTCCAATTCTCTGCCACACTGACTCCAATTCTCCACCACACTGACTCCAATTCTCCACCACACTGACTCAAATTCTCCACCACACTGACTCAAATTCTCTGCCATACTGACACCAATTCTCTGCCACACTGACACCAATTCTCTGCCACACTGACTCCGATTCTCCACCACACTGACTCCAAATCTTCTCCGTACTAACTTTAGCTGTCCTCCACACTGACTCACATTATATTGTTGACTTAAGATTCTCCTCCTTGTTAAACCTTGTTGAATTAGATTCTCCTCTATCCTGACTCAGATTCTCCTCCTTGTTTAATTAAATTCTCCTCTATCCCGACTCAGATTGTCCTCCTTGTTGAATTAAATTCTCTATCCTGACTCAAGACTCTCCTCCTTATTGAATCAGATTCTCCTCTACACTGACTCAGATTATCCTCTATCCTGACTCAGATTTCCCTCTACACTGACTCAGATTAACCTCTACACTGACTCAGATTATCCTCTACACTGACTCAGATTATCCTCTACACTGACTCAGATTATCCTCTACACTGACTCAGTTTTCCCTCTACACTGACTCAGATTATCCTCTACACTGACTCGGATTATCCTCTACACTGACTAAGATTATCCTCTACACTGACTCAGATTATCCTTTACACTGACTTAGATTCTCCTCTACACTGACTTAGATTCTACACTGACTCAGATTCTCCTCCTTGTTAAGAATCAGATTCTCTCACACAGACTTTGATGTTTGAGCCTTATTTCCATCTCATAGAGACTTCTCTTGTGTTTGAGTCTGACTTCTGTCTCACAGACTTTCTCTGATGTTTGAGTCTGATTTCTGTCCCACACAAACTTTTCCTGATGTTTGAGTCTGATTTCCATCTCACACAAACTTTTCCTGATGTTTAAGTCTAATTTCTGTCTCGCACAGACTTTCTCTGATGTTTGTCTGATTTCTGTCTCACACAGACTTTCTCTGATGCTTGAGTTTGATTTCTGTCTCACAAGTCTGAATTCTGTCTCACACAGACTTTTCCTGATGTTTAAGTTTGATTTCTGTCTTGCACAGAATTTTCCTGTTGTTTAAGTTTGATTTCTGTCTCACACAGACTTTTCCTGATATTCAAGTCTGATTTCTGTCGCACACAGACTTTCTCTGATGTTTGTCTGATTTCTGTCTCACACAGACTTTTCCTGATGTTTAAGTCTGATTTCTATCTCACACAGACTTTCTCTGAGGTTGGAGCCTCCAGGTACAGCATCCTCATCTTCGTCTCGAGAAGATGTGAACACCTTCCCTCCACAGTCGCCCCACTCCGAGCCACGCAACCAGCTGTCTGTGACCAGGGTGACGGCCTCACACCGCAAGTCCAGAAGTTTAAGTGCCAAGTGAGTCACGTCACTGGGCCAGTGTGACATGTCTAAGTGTCGGTTGTGTCACTTCATATGTCAGTGTAAACATGTCAGGGTTTTATGAATAAGTTCATGGGACATAATGTCAGTGTCAGGCACATTTGTCAGCCTGGATTTGTGCCGCAGCTAATTCATGTCACATACACAGTGTAATTTAAAAAAGTTTAACGAATAATTTATATCATGTACACAATGTAATAAAATAAATTAAACAAGTAATTCATATCACCTAAACAGTGTAATAAAATTAATTAAACAAGTAATTCATATCACCTAAACAGTGTAATTAAAGAAATAAAACAAGTAATTAATATCACCTTAACAGTGTAATAAAATAAATTGAACAAGTAATTCAAATCACTTAAACAGTGTAATTAAAGAAATTAAACAAGTAATTCATATCACCTAAACAGTGTAATTAAAGAAATTAAGTAATTCAAATCACTTAAACAGTGTAATTAAAGAAATTAAACAAGTAATTCATATCACCTAAACAGTGCAATTAAAGAAATTAAACAAGCAATTCAGATTATTCAGATTAAATGCTTATAGAAATGAAACTAAAGGTTAAAGTCGAGAGGAATGACCGCATTGCACCAGGTTTTATCCCATTTGGCTCGGTCTCTCTCCACAGAATGGCTAGGCGCCACACAGTGCACGAACTCCATAGCTCTGGCGACAGTCATAAGGGATCTCCGTAAAAATTGCACTCCTGATCTGAACAACGCAGTCAAACCCACGACCTTCAGAGCATTAGGCAAACAGCTTGACCACTTCGCCACGGAGACCCCCGTTAGAAGTGAAACTAGTAGTTCATACCACATAAGTATAGACATGTAACAAGTAATCTGGATCACACAATTCATATTGCTATATTTATTCAAGTACGTTAATTCACATGTGTAGTCTGACTCACTGTGAAAGGTACCATCCAAAAACCCTCACCCCCCCCCCCCCTTTCCCCCTTTTCCAACCCCACCCACACACACATGCACGCTCGCTCGCGCGCATGCGCACATGTACATGTGCACATACATGCATACCCACTTGCAGTTTGTCGGCCTGTGTGTGTCTCCTAGCAGCTTCATGTCGTGTAATCTGTCCGCCTGTGAAAGGTATCATTACTGAGCTAGTCTGTGTGTGTCTCCTTGCAGCTTCATGTCCTGTAGTCTGTCTGCCTGTGAAAGGTATCATTACTGAGCTGGTCTGTGTGTGTCTCCTTGCAGCTTCATGTCATGTAGTCTGTCTGCCTGTGAAAGGTATCATTACTGAGCTAGTCTGTGTGTGTCTCCTTGCAGCTTCATGTCGTGTAGTCTGTCTGCCTGTGAAAAGTATCATTACTGAGCTAGTCTGTGTGTGTCTCCTTGCAGCTTCATGTCGTGTACTCACCCACAAGTAGAGAAATCCAACAGCCTTCCTAGTCGGGCCACTGCTCCGTACGTCCAGGGCATCCGGCATCTGTTAGATGACAGTGTCCTAGAGGAGTCGCCTTGTGCTTCCAGTGAGGGCTCTGTATGTAGCAAGTTACAGACAGGTGAGTGATTTGTTGTGGGCTGTCAAGTTATATCTGACAGGTTGAGTGATG